GGGGGTTTAGTGTGCCTCATAATGCCATATTTTTCCTGATGGAGGAAAGTCTGAGGCTAAATCAGATTTGCTAATGTCATACTGAAGGTGTCTGAATTTTGGGTAGGTTTTTTTCACCTGATTGAGGAGGGAGCGGGCTGCTTATTGTGTGTATGTCAACTCATTGGTGTGGGTTTTCTTTTTTTAAAGGTCTAGCACTCGAGTCCTACAACTATAGCTATATGGCGCTCATATGACCTTATGCAGTTGCGAGTGCCGTAAAACCCTTTACTATTAAAAAAATATATATATAGCTATTGGATCTCAGCTTTCTGTTTGTGGGGGTTTTTTTAGCTTTGTTTTGTCTCTTCTAAAGGAGGCTGATACCACTATTGATGTGGTTCTTTTGTCTTGTCTTCATCCTTCTGGTTGGCGGGTGCTCTGGTGTGATTTGCTTCTTCTTTCGTATCAAACATCCATCTATCGTCAGTATCTCCCTTTCTTCTTTTTTATGTTTGTTACTCTCTTGTAACAGCTCTAATCTTCTGGCACTCATATGACCGTATGCAGTGGCGAGCGCCGTAAAACCTCTGCTAAAACAAACAGCTTGTTGTTGAATCTGCCATGGGGTGATAGTGATTTTTTTTTTCCACTTTGTTATGAAGGTCGACAAAATGTGGTATGTAGAATGTCTTCTCTCTGTCTGGTATAAGAGAGAGAAGAGCAGTTTTCATGTTGTTTATCGCCTGTCAGTGGGAAATTATTTGCTATATATGTGCTTTTTGTGGGTTGTTGGCGGGTGCTCTGGTATTGTTTGCTCCTTCTTTCCTATCAAACTTCCGTCTATCGTCATCATCTCCCTTTCTTCTTTTTTATGTTTGTTACTCTCTTGTAACACCTCTAATCTTCAGCACTTATATGGCGTTATTGCGTTGCAAGTGCCGTAAAACTCTAACTAAAACAAAAAATTTTGGTGAAAACGCAGATCCTCAAGATGTGTGCCAATCACTTCCTCAATGCCGACATGCAACTGACGCCCATGTCCAACTCTGACCGGGCCTGGTGCTACTCTGCTCACGACTTTGCTGAGGAGGAGATGAGGATGGAGCAGCTGGCTGTCAAGTTCAAGACAGCAGAGAAAGCAAACGCTTTCCAGACAATCTTCGAAGTTTGCCTCAGTCAGCTGAAAGAAGCAAGCAAAGGTTTGCATCTTACTTAGAATTGCAAAGCCAAAAGACTCCCTGAGCTCTGCTAGTGCTGCTGTGAAAAGATTTGGAATTATTTGCTCATGAATTTTATCAAAAAGGGTGGTCTCATAAAAAAGTCTCTATTCACATAAACCATGTGTTGTGTACCTTAACTTCTTAAACCCCACAGCTTTGTCACAAGAGTAGCCTTGAGTCCCAAGTCAAAAGGACATAGCTCTGTATAGAATAGACTTTTTTTAAGCAATCGAAAGTACAATGTTTAAAAAGATGTCCCTGACAGCAGCAGAGTTTACAGATGTGGTTGACAGGGGGAGTCTTAAAAAGTAATGCAAGTTATTCACTATTTTGCACAATTTGGTATCGAATTTTATGAAATTCAGCTCACGAGCACTTGCCCATGTACTTTTGAACTCAAACCATTGAAATTCAATTTTCTTTGAGTTTTGTGTGAATGTCACATCAAAATTGCTACCCCTTTGGAGGTCTGTCGGAAGCTAAGAGCTGTGATTAAATTTTTTGTTTTAGAAGGAGAATCCACTTAATAAAAGGTGGACAATGGCCATGGAAAGAAATGGAGACTACGTTGAGAAATAGAAATATGATCCTCAGATGCTCCCCTTCCATTTGAGGAATGCTAGTTGTAGCTGCTTTCTCTTTTCTTTATGTTATAAAAAAAACTTGCATTACTTTTTGACTCCCCCTCGTATGTCAGAAAATGAACAAACAGTGTGAATAATAGAACATGATTCGTACTTGCATATGACCTGAAAACATGACGACGAGCCTTACAGCATGTGTTGCTCTCCAGACTGAGAGAGATGTTCAAAGCACAATATCTTACTTGGGGGGGTATTATATCATGCAATCCCTCTACGTCATTGAGAAAAGCAAGATATGTAGTGAATTTTTAAATACTTTTTTAAAACCAGTAACTAAACTACACATAGTGATGCAGTCCCAAAGATGAGATGGATGTTTGATAGTAAATTTTACATGTGATTTGCATCAAATTTGTCTGTCAGTACCTCTGTGAGTGTAGTGTACTCTTGACTTAAACCAGTTGAATTGCATTTTGATTGTTGGGGGGGGGGGGGGCGCAAAATGATCAAGTGACAATTTTTATGTCTTCTAAATATTTCAGGTAAAGTCTCCATGCCCATTTCTACCCCGGATTCTTCAGTAGTAAAGTCTCCAGAGTCCAAATGGGATGCAGCTTCAACCAGCAAAGCAGCACCAGCTGTGGCAGCAGCTTCTGCTGCTCCCAAGTCTCTCACGGAACTCTTCAAGCCCAAGGTTGGCAGCTGGGAGTGCGACGGCTGCTTGGTGAGGAACGCCGGGGACGTGCTCAAGTGTCCGGCGTGTGCCACCCTCAAGCCTGGCGTCAAGCCGGACGACCTTCCCAAAGAGCAGCCGTCGTCCTCCAGTTTTTCAATAGCGAGCCTAACCTCTGGCTCAACGGGCACTGGTTTCCGATTTGGCTCTGGCAGTGTTGCTGCTGGAGCCACTCCCGGCCCGGGTGCTGTGAAGTTCGGCGGTCCACCACCGCCAGGCAGCGGGGAGGCCAAACAAGAAGATATGCCAAAGGAGCCGGGGACAAAGTCAGGATTTTCCGCTGGAGCCTTTTCCCAAGGCCCAAGCGCAACCGGCTTCAGGTTTGGCCCAGCTGCACTGAGGGGCGGAGGCTTTACGTTTGGAGCGCCGTCCGCGCTGGCCGAATCCACCACCACGACGGATGCTGCTGCTGCTACAACAACGTCCAAATTCTCTTTTGGGCAGTCTGCCGCAACCGCGCCTGTCGGAGGTCCCGTGTCGTTTGGCTCGGGTCCGGTGACCAGCACGCCGGCGGCAGCTGCTGCTGCAGCCACCAAGCCCAGCACCACCAAGGTCTCTCCTTTTGTCGTGAGCACGGCGCAGCAGAGTGGCGGCTTTGTGTTTGGTGGCTCCGCCCTTTCCTCTCTGTCGGGGGGTGCCACCAGTTCTGTGACAACTACATCCGCCACTTCTAGCGTCGGGTTTTCTTTTGGCCCCAAGCCGAGCGGGTTCTCTTTCACCCCGCCCAAGGAACCTGCGGGGAATCAAGCGGAGGCCAAGTCAAAGTCTAGCCAGCCAGATGGCGGTCTGTTGGCCAAATTGTTGACCTCGGATGACTCTACTGCAGACGAGGTGCTGGGGATCACATCGAAACCTGCAGGTCAGTGGCTCATCAAAGTTTATTGTTGGTTACTCTATTGTAACACCTCTAATCTTTGGCACTTTTATGACCATATTATATTAAAAGTGCTGTAAAACTCTTACTAAAAATGTAAGACCATTTTTTGGGGAAAATTTCTTTCTTTTTTTTTTTTCCCATGTATGAAAGTATTTAATATTGGGGGGGGGGGGAGGTGTTATTGTTCCATCTGGTCTGGGCATTCTTTCCTGAAATGTCTCATGTGATCAAGTTTTGCCGTTTCCTTTTTGACTGTTGAGGTGCCCCTTTTTATTTCTACAGTTGTCCTCGCTAGCGATCCATTTTAGTGATAAATGTAGTAATCAGTCGGTGGGGGGGGGGGAAAAAGCTGTTTTATGGGTTGGATTTTTAGGGATCTGGTCTTTGCGATACTTTGCCTTAATTTACTGTGAAAAGGATTTGATAGTCTGTGGGCAAAGACATAGAGTGATAGCCTCCTTTAAATATTGGCTCAGTTTGGGGTTGTTTTGTTTTTTGTTTTTTATTATGATAGTTTTGGTTTTTGTTTTTTATTCTTCTTTCAATAGCTTAAAAAGGTATCATATTTTGTATTTATTTTGATTTTTATTCTTGTTTACTCTGCAAGATTCGTCGACGGGTGGATTCAACTTCAGCATGGCGGCGAAACCGACGTCCTTCGGGGGAAGTCCCTCGGGTGGCCAGACTCAGAGCCAGGGCTTCCAGTTTTCCCTGGCCAAGGGCCAGGGCGGCCCGGCGGTGCCCAGTTCTCCCGAAGTAGACGAGCAGGGCCTGTACATCACCAAGGAGGGAGACGACAGCCACATTCACTTTGAGCCGGTGGTGGCTCTGCCGGACAAAGTGGAGGTCAGTCAGTCAGTTTGTTTGACGGACGGACGTTTCGTGGAGTTGTACATGGGAAGATGTTCTTTTGTCAATAGCTGTGCATGGGAAGATGTTCTTGGTCTATAGCTATACATGGGGAGATGTTCTTTTATCGATAGCTGTACATGGGAAGATGTTCTTGGTCTATAGCTATACATGGGGAGATGTTCTTTTGTCGATAGCTGTACATGGGAAGATGTTCTTTTGTCATTAGCTGTACATGGGAAGATGTTCTTTTGTCAATAGCTGTACATGGGAAGATGTTGTTTTGTCAGTAGCTGTACATGGGAAGATGTGCTTTTGTCGGTAGCTGTACATGGGAAGATGTTCTTTTGTCAGTACCTGTACATGGGAAGATGTTCTTTGTCTATTGAGCTCATGGGAAGATGTTCTTTTGTCAGTAGCTGTACATGGGAAAATGTTCTTTGTCTATAGAGTGCATGGGAAAATGTTCTTCATCTATAGCTGTACGTGGAAAGATGTTCTTCGTCATAGCAGTGTGTGGGTGGTGTCGTATTCATAAAACATGTGTCTGTAAAATATACTCCCTGTGCCACAGGTAAAGACTGGAGAAGAAGACGAAGTGATCCTGTTTGAGTCCCGGGCTAAGATGTACAGGTTCGTCTCGGGGGAGTGGAAGGAGAAAGGAGTGGGTGTGGTCAAGATCCTGGAGCACAAGGAGAACAAGAAAACCAGACTCTTGATGAGAAGAGATCAGGTATGGATGGTGATGTATGTGTGTGGTTGGGGGGTGGGGGGAGGTGCTTTACTTCCTTTGTTCTCTTTTTAAATAAGCGGAGAATAATAATAAAAATATACCGTCATACTTACTAAGACCACACACCCTCGGGGGGCAACGCCACTGACTGAAGTGTCTTTAGGCTATTCCCAAAGGGGGGACATTTCTCGTTCTAATGCACAGTAGAATTGTAAATGGGCTGATTCAACAATGTCATGCTCATAACTGTGCCTGAACTACAACAGGGTACTGCTGCTTTTTCTTTCCTAGTCCTTATTATCATCATTTTCCTCTACTTCTTTTGTATGTTTGTCACACTCTTGTGACCCGCTATTTCCGGGGTACCTTGAATGTCAAAACAGACTTTGTGCTGTTAAAGGTAGAGAGGCTAGCAGAGTAAGTCTGATTCCCTGTAAAGACTTCTCTGTTGACATCCGCCCCTTGGCGCTCATATGACCTTATTCAGTTGCGAGCGCCGTAAAACCCTCTACTAAATGAATAATGCATAGCTGCCACTTTCCCGCTAAATAGCGGAAACTCCGCTACATCTAGCTTTCCCCGCAACTTTCCTCCTTCCTCCGCTGGACCGCTCTTGATCGCAAATTTCATACTTTTTTTTCCACGCGGAAAACACCGAACCGGGAGAGAGACGAAAACGCGGTCTGCGCATGTCCGCTCGTAGCTTTCTACTTCCGTTCTTCTAGGCCCAGCGCTAGTTTCACATTGTTTATTGTTGTGGAGCAACACAGTGTCGATCGGGCATCGGGACGTTAGCGCGCCGAGTTGTCATTGAAATTGGCGGAAATTCGAGAGAAATTGATTCAGAATGCAAAAATAAAAGGAGCTGGAATGAGAAAGAAGCAGCCGGTGTGCGACTTGAAAAGTTCATTAAAAAATTGAACTAGATCTAGCTGTTTTTTGCGAAAGAAATCGCGGCCCGCGGCACTCCTGTTACAGTCCTGTACAATTGCGGTCCCGTTTGTTTACATGACGGCTATTGTGGCTGCTGCGGAAGTGAATCTAGATCTAGATTTAGATCTAGAAAATCTATCTCTAGATATAATCTAGATCTACACATATTTAGATATATCTAGATCTAGATTAGATAGCCTAGGCTATAATTTTAATTCAGTTTATCTCTAAATAAGAAACACACTACAGGGGCACTAAGTGCAAACGGGACCGCAATTGTACAGGAGTGCCTGCCTCCTTGATCCGATACTGCTCTACGTCTATGTATGTACACGTTTAAAGTGAAAGAAGTCTTTTTATGAGACACCAGCTGGCAAAAAACACTAGATTTTTAGTCACCAAGTCCAAACTGTGTCAAATTGACTCGAATGCTTGTTAGTCAACTTACTGCATTTATGTTGTTGTTTTTTTTGTTTGTTTTTTTCAAATACATTTTAATTCAGTTGCCTATGGTTAACAATATGACAGTTTTCCCTTCCAAAACCGTAGGCTAGATTTTCCAGTATATATTGCCTCTGGATCTCACTGGTTTCGGAGAGCGCGCGTACACTTTCGCGTGAATTTCCTCCTTTTTAAAAATTTCTAAGTGGCAGCTATGATAATGACCACCTTTAGAAGATAATCGACTGTAGTAACAGCCACTTCCCATTTTCTTCCTGTGTATTTGCCGGGGGTGTAAGACAGACACTTTTCTCCTCTTCATTCTGTTGCCTTCTTTGACAAATTCATGAAATATTTGTTCCTACGGGGTGGAATCAGGCGCTAGGCAATTTTTGAGCGTGTGGGGTTATTGGTATCATCTTAAAGCTTGTTCAGTTGTCTTGCTAACGGTGAAAAAAATGCCCATCTATCTTGAATAGCAGTCAAGATATTTGAGATGTAAGAAGGTGGGGTCGCTCAGTTTGGAAGGTAGAATTGACGAGAAAATGGCCGCCAAAATTTGGTTTTTTCTCTAGCTTGATAGTCCATGGAAACTGAAAACTTACTTTTTTGTGCCTTTAATCAACGATTTTCTGTCAGAAATGTTTTTAATTGCACAACAACAGTGTTAAGCCCAGAAACAAAAATTTGATGAAAATTGCCAAACTTCTTCAGTTTTATTATTTTGACGAAGGCCTGATTTCACCTCGCTGCTTCACATACAGATATTTGAGCACGTTACTATGTGCTGCATTTTACTCAAATGAGGTATGCCTTCCTCAAGGACTTCTCTTGGCGAGTGGGCATTGTTCACCTTGGTTTCAATGTTTCGATCAGACAGGAAGAACTTGATCCATTTGTAAAGTTTGCCATGTATCCCGAGGTCCATCATTTTACTCAAATGAGGACTTGATTATTTTGGATCATGTTCGAATCTTTATTCGCTCTGCCCAGCTGATTACAATGTACCCAACAACAACAAAAAATGCTTGCTCCACATCTGAATATGCTTATGTAATGCAAACGAAATGAAGAACTGGTTATGACAGTGCTAACCTCCTTTTTTGTATCGAAGAGGTAAATTCTTGAAAGTTGGTGGTTGGCGGGTGCCCTGTTGTGGTTTGCTCCTTCTTTCCAACTATTGTCCTTATATCCCCTTCTTCTTTTTTATGTTTGATACTCTCTTGTAACACCTGTAATCTTCTGGCGCTCATATGACCTTATGCAGTTGTGAGAGCTGAAAAACTTTTACTAAAATGAAAAAAATTAATAAATAAAAATTCTTGTAAAGATAGAAATTATGTAGCTGAAACTTATTTGTCTTCTTCTTTTTTTTTTCCCCTTCAAGGTACTCAAAGTGTGCTGTAACCACATGATTGATCCAGCACTCAAGTTGGAGGCGATGGCACGGTCTGAAGGCAAAGCCTGGACCTGGTACGCCATGGACTTTTCTGAGGAAGAAGGAAAGATGGAGCAGATGGCCCTGAGGTGAGACAGAAGGACATTGTCACTGACCTTGCTTAGATTTTTGTACCCTGGGTAACGATAAGTCCCTGTGGGCATGATGGTGTGTTTGAAAGGTTATTCCGAGTCTTGTGATTTCCATCTTTTTCACTACCTCAGAATATCAAGAGAACTTTTTTTTATGATGTCGGATTTGACTTCTTTCAGTGGCATGTTCATACCACCGGCACAAATCAATATGGCTGTACGCTGTGAAATATTTTGTCGGAACTTATAAAAAGGTGAAAGATTGTGGATGATTATTGGCTGCTGTCTTTTTGTATTGTGTGACCCAACTTTTGTGGACTTCAGTTGGAGTAGTATCTTGGCGTATTATATCCACTGAATGCTTTCTCCTCATATTGTTTTAAAAGAGAAAAGATTGAAAATAGAATTTCTTCTTATTCATTTAAAAAACTATAAAGGAAAGAACAATATTAGTGTTGAGGCATACATTTCTATTGTTCATGATTCTCATAATTTTGTTTAAGAGGGGAATGAATGAATTTTTAAGTCCAAAGAAGTCCAACAGAAGCATGGAAACTTTTGATCAATGTTAAAGGTTCATCCATAGTGAAAATGTAATCATTTTTATCTCGCATAGATTCGAAACAGCTGAAATGAGAAAGGATCATCTGTTATGAAAATGTACATTTTTATCCCGCATAGATTTCAAACAGCTGAAATAAGAAAGGATCATCCGTAATGAAAATGTAATCATTTTTATCCCGCATAGATTCCGAACGGCTGAAATTGCTGGTGAATTCAAGAATGTGTTTGACCAGTGCAAAGAGAAAGGAAAAACTACCCCCGACAAAAGTGGATCTGCAGCCCAGGCAAAGATTTCTGGGGATGCAAATTCCGTGAAGAAGGAATTGTTTGCCGGTAAGTCATGCATCGCTTAGCTTTCCTTTTCGTCCCTGTAGTATATATGATTTGAGACAATGGTTGAAAGTCAGTAACGAAGGAGGCCTATTAACATTTACAGTACTGAAGGCTCATATAATAATAATAATAATAGATAGCATTTGTATAGCATACAGTGCAAGCAGCCGACTAAGCGCTCAAACACTAACAAACTGACAAGATCTTTCGCTGTCTATAGCCGGGTACTAGACCTGCATGTTTGCCGACAATCGTCTGAAATCCGACAATCGCGACCCGACCCGCGAACCGGCCGATGCTATCGCTAGGCCCGCCTGTATCAGTCAATGTGCGTAGTGCGAGGCCTGGCCGACTGCCAGCGACCCCTTTTTCTCCCGTCGGCTTCGTCGGCACTTTCGTTTTCGTGCCGACGTCGGCGTTTCCGACATAATTGTCGGAACCTGAGTAGAAATGCGAACACGAAAAAGGACGACAACCTAAATTATCTACTTTCAGTTTCGTGCTCGAGCGGCCATTTTGAATTTCGTTTGTTGACTAATTCAATTGTTCAGATCGTGTGGATTCATTCAAGTCCGACTCTCTTGTTCTAATAGAATTTAGATCTAGATCAAGATCTAGATTTATATAGATCATTATAGACCTCAATGGAGGATTCATATTCCAATTCTATTGTGTCAAACCCTTTCATAGGTTGTGCTGTAATATTAATATTGGTAAAAATAAGCATTTCATCAGGTGCGTGTATTATTTATTTATCTAAATCTAGAAATCTAGATCTAGATCTAGAATCTAGACTCAGCTGAGTCCGTCTGTTCGGAATCGGATGCGGATTTCTAGTTCAAGGCCTATTCCTATTCACTTGTTCTACAAGATGTAGATCTAGATCTAGATCTAAATCTAGATTTATTTAGATTACTAGATCTATATTGAGTATTCATATTCTAATTCTGTTGTGTTATTGTATCAAACCCAAAAGCAATGTAGTTGTAAACCATATAGATTCTAGATCTAGATCTAGAATATAAATTTAATTTTGATTTTTTTTTTTTCATTTAGGACTTGTTTTGGCCTTATTACATGAGGCCCGTTGCAGGTTCTTTTTGGGGGTAGGGTTAGGTCTCTTCTTTATATTATTGTGTTTGTTGGGGTGGTCGCTCGTTACTCGGATAGTCCTTCCTTATGACACCTACAAAGGCTTTGGGGGGGGGGTGCGCAAAATTTTCAGACAATCTGGTTGAGGCTCACATGCAGGTCTAGGGTACCCATTCCCACGTGGGTGAAGTGAGGAAAATTTGTGTAAAGTGCCTTTTCCAAGGACACAACGTCGGGTCCCTGACGGGATTCGAATCCACGACCTTACGGTTGCAAGTCCGAGAGCCTATATTGTGAAAAACCCTCAAGTACCGCGCTAGTTTAGAACACTGAAGCTGTGGTAGAATTTTTTTTAATTGAAAAAAAAACCTTGGCAGCCCAAGAAACGTGCTTTAGAAATTCAGGGAGGTTCATCAACCTTTCAGCTATTATATAGCATGACTTCCTTTGGTATTTACTTCAGTGCAGTGCGGCAATTCGTTGTTTAATTTTGTTTAGTGTGCCTGGTTGCACCGGCAACTAAAGCTGCCAGCGATAGTGAGATCTGGTGGCTTTAAAAGTCGCCGGACGGTTCTGTAAGTGTTAAGTGAATTGCCCTATTTGTTGACGAGGTGGTTGACATTGTCATAAAAAAGGGGGCTCTTGGCTTTGATAGCACTTCTCCCACAGACTGGTAATTACAAGTTACCGTTAACTCACTTGAGCCTGAGCTATTTTTTACCTAACATCCATTGCAGCCTGACAGTTTTGGGGTATATTGAATCGTTGTCCCCAAAAAGCCTGAAAGTTATCAACATTTTTTTTAATGCAGCAAAAGAAAGAAAGAAATGCTCTCACAGAAAAAGAAATCTGCGTCTAATTTGTCTGAATAGTTTTTGTTTTATCAATATTTTGAAATGGCAATGTCTGGGGGTTATACCACTGTTTTGCCCACAATTTATAATAAAACCATCTATTGCGATACGGGGGACGAATGACTTAGTCTGTTACAGCTCAAAAAGTATCTCACATAACTTCTCCAAATTTTTACCAAAACAAAACAATTGGTCAACTTTTGACTCGCTGCTTCCCCGCAACTTGTAACCGAAAAACACCAGAGATATTGATAAAGCGCATCTCGTGAATAAATGGGAATTGGCTCTAGCGAGTTAATAAAAGTGGGGGGGGGTTATTTATTATTTTTTTCCTTCTCTGCCCTGTGTCGTGATAATTGTATCCGGTCGAGCACCTTGTGAATGGTTGGGAGTGCGCTCTGGTTTGGTTTGCTCCTTTTTTCCTGTAAATACCTGTCATCCCTAGCTCTCCTCCTTTTTTCCTGTAAATACCTGTCATCCCTAGCTCTCCTCCTTTTTTCCTGTAAATACCTGTCATCCCTAGCTCTCCTCCTTTTTTCCTGTAAATACCTGTCATCCCTAGCTCTCCTCCTTTTTTCCTGTAAATACCTGTCATCCCTAGCTCTCCTCCTTTTTTCCTGTAAATACCTGTCATCCCTAGCTCTCCTCCTTTTTTCCTGTAAATACCTGTCATCCCTAGCTCTCCTCCTTTTTTCCTGTAAATACCTGTCATCCCTAGCTCTCCTCCTTTTTTCCTGTAAATACCTGTCATCCCTAGCTCTCCTCCTTTTTTCCTGTAAATACCTGTCATCCCTAGCTCTCCTCCTTTTTTCCTGTAAATACCTGTCATCCCTAGCTCTCCTCCTTTTTTCCTGTAAATACCTGTCATCCCTAGCTCTCCTCCTTTTTTGAGTTCCGTTTGTTACTCTCTTGTAACACGTCTAATCTTCGGCACTTATATGATCTTATGTTGCAAGTGCCCTAAAACTCAAACTAGAACTTAAAAAAAAACAACCAGACCCAAAATTAAAAAACCCTTTAGTATGAGCTTTTTTTTGTTGTTGTTGTTGTTAAAGATAACTGTTGTGTCTCTTGCCCCCACTTGACAAAAGCTTTATTTCAATTTCCACTTTTGTTATTTGTAATATTTGTCAGCTGATAGCCAGACAGGAGAGGAAGACGATGACGATGTGATTTTTGTACGGGAAGAGAAACCCACGGATGAGCAGGTCGAAAAGGCGCGCCGGTACCTGCTGCCAGATAACTTCTACCTCTATGAAAGCAAACCGCCTTGCCCGGGCTGCATCGGATGCACAGATGGAGAAGTACCGGTAAATGTACCGGCAAAGAGCAAACCGACTGTTCCTACTGGCCCGGGTAAGTTGGTGGTGACTCAAACATCTTTAAGATACGTCTTCATTGTCCAGATCCTGGCACATTGGTTTGGTGTTTCACTACGTGTACACGCACGCGCGTGCACACACACTTAGGCTTACAATCACATGCATAATATAAATGAGCAGCAATATAAACAATAATAATAATACACACTCAATGTTCATTTAATGCATGCTCTAAGGTTGTAAGTATACTTATATACAAGATGGTTAGGATGGAAGCATTTTGATATATACATATCAGCCATTTGTGCTGGGGACTTGGGGGTTTTTTTGTTTTTTGTTTTTTAAAAAGCTATGTAGTCATTATTGAAGTAGAAAATGTGTGGCTTGATGTTTGTCTTTTGTCCTCAAATGTAACTGGGTGGGTGGTTGGCGGGTGCTCTGGTGTGATTTGCTCCTTCTTTCCTATCAAACATCTTATCATCATTATCTCCCCCTCCTTCTTTTTTGTGTTTGTTACTCTCTTGAAACGTCTCTAATATTGGACACTTATATGAGTTTGTTGTGTTGCAAGTGCTGTAAAACTCTCACGGTGGGTGGTTGGCGGATGCTCTGGTGTGGTTTGCTCCTTCTTTCCTATCAAACATCTATCACTATCGTCCTTATATCTCTCCCTCCTTCTTTTTTATGTTTGTTACTCTCTTGTAACACCTCTAATCTTCCGGCGCTCATATGACCTTATGCAATTGCGAGCGGCGTAGTGTAACTGGTGGTTAGAGGGCACGACTGGTAGGTCTTACTACTTTTCTTTCCTTCTGTTGTTTCTGTCTAGTGGTTTGTTTTTCCCCCTGCTCATATGACCACATTCCTGTTGATGTGCTCTATTGATAAACGAAATCGGAGAATGGCAGTGGGTGGTTGGCGGGTGCTCTGGAGTGGTTTGCTTCTTTTTTCCTATCAAACATTTATCGTCTTTATCTCCCCTCCTTTTTTGTGTTTGTTACTCTCTTGTCACACCTCTAATCTTCAGTTGTTATATGACCTTATTGTGTTGCAAGTGCCGTAAAACACTTTTACTAAAGCTAAAAAAGAAGAATGGCACCAGCTGAAATTGTTTTCAAATTCATATATTGCAATATTTTTATGTCCATTTATAAATCAATTTTGCGAATACCAAAATTAGCATGCATACTGCTTTGTCTTTTAATCTTGTTCAAATTCACTTGCTGAGATTCAAATAAAAAGGGTGCTCCTCTTGAATGAATAACATAGCTCCAGTTGTTGTGTGATTCTGTGAAATTGGAAAATGTCAAGCAATATCAGTTTGTCAGGCGGTAATATTATGATAATGTTGGTTAATTAATAGTCTTGCTTGAAAATGTTGTGCTGAAGATTTAAAATTATTGGTACTGCTTATTGATATCTCGAGAAAGAAAAATGTTATCACTGCAGAGTATGCCTTTTTTTTTTTTTTTTTTTTTTCTAATTTTACTTTTGATTATTCCCCCACCCCAACCCCCAACCCTTTTCCATTGGACTGAACTGGTTTGTAGGTTTTGCCTTTGGCCAGAGCAGCCCGTCACTGTTTGGAGGGGGAGCAAATTTGCCCAACTTTGCCAGCCTTACTTCTGATTCGGACGGTGAAAAATCGGAACCGGCAGTTGTGTTTGGCTCAAAAACGAGCATGGACTTCTCTAGCCTTGCTTCTGAGGGGGAAACAAGAAATGTCTTTGCTGTAAAACAAGGTAGGTGCTTTGGCTTGTAGGGGGACAAAATGGATTGTTTGTGTTTAGATCAAAGACGAAAGGTTCATTCTTGCCCGAGCATGTTTTTCACCTGCTTGATTTGATTTGATTTTTTAAAAATTAAACTCGCTTGCTCTGTGTCTTCGTATTGATAAAGCCAAGTCGTGGAGAACTATTTTGTCCAAAGTGCCTCTTTACTAAAATACACTTTTGACAAAATAGTTCTGGGGTGACGGAATGTGGTCACACATTATTACAGGCTCTGTAACCCTTGTCAGTGGTGTAGCGGTTATGCGCTTTGTCGTCACATGCGGAAAACCTGTTTGTATCGAGTAGTTCGGTCCTTCTGCTGGGATGCTGTATCTCTCTCAGCCTTCAGCGCTAAGCTGACAAAACACTTTTTTTTCTCACTTTGGCGCCAAGATTTTTTATTCGCTAAATCGAAAGCCTGATCAGTTACCCTACTTGTGTGAAAAAATCAAAGTGAAACTGTGTCTAATTTTTGTATAAATTAGAACACTCTATTTTTAAATGGTTACACTAACAAAAAAAACTGTTTTTCTCGAAACATGCTGTGAATATACAAACAGGCGTTTTGTCAGCTTACTGCAGAGTGGCCCTTACACGCAGGGTTGAAGCAGCCTGCCTTTTAGATGATCTCAATTGTGTTCATAGGAGGAACCATTGGTGTTGATAACGGAAGTGACAACTTTTATAGATATGATTTTTGGTGAGTTGTCTGTAAAGACAGTCGTCGGAGATTCCAGTACTGTTTCAATATTTGTCTATTGTAAATTCATGTAGCTGTAGCATCGACTTCAGCACCTGCGATGCAGGGTGGTGTTCCCCAACAAGTCACATCATGACACTTTGCTAGCTCTGCAACTATTCTTGAAGTTCACCTCACAATGAGTTGGGCTAAGGAGTTTTCAAATGGGCAGTTTCATTCACAGAGTCACATCATCATTGCCTTTCTCACCCTGCACCAGGGTATAGGCCACGGACAAACACCCCCCACTTTTCTCTATCCTGGGCTAGCCTCTTGATGTTATTCCATGTCTTCCCACTTTTCTGTACATCGATTTTCAGAAGAGTCCTTTCGGCTTTGTCCGCTGTCCTTCATTGTTCCTGCTGATACAGAAGCTCCTCTGTCTCCCAAGATCGAAAAATAAAAAGCTGTGTTTGTCCGTGTTTCTGTAACTTACTGTTTTTTACTGGGTTGGGTAGTTGGCCCTCCGCAAACTGGCACTTTTCGGGCGACCAGACCTATGCACTTTTAGTCGCCTCTTACGACACGCAGTATCACGGCAGGTGTATTCTTTGCTCCCCCATAGTAAAACTACGGGGGCCCCCCCCACCAGCAGGGGGAATCAGAGTCACAGAGGCATGTATTTTGTCTAAAGTTGTAAAGCTTGGGGAGGGTTTCCCCCTTCAAAACATTCTTGTTTAGTGCTGACTTTGACTTTGAGCTGTCTTCATGCTCAGGGCCTGTTTGTGATTTGACAATTCCATCTTGGTAACTCCTTGTTACTTGTTTTAGGTGACTGGTTAAAAAGGGCATCTAGCTGCTCCTTGAATGGTAGATGAGATTTCCAGTGGTTTAACCCTTCCAGCCCCATGCGCGTATATTTTCAGCAGCGCTTGTACCTCCCACCATCCCAAGAGGGTGTACTCTCAGTTTCAGGGGTTTCTGAATTTGTGCATTTTTAAAAATTAGCGAACCTAATTAAACTGTAATTTTCATAACATTTTTTCATTTACCTTTAAAAATTGTTGAATGTTATTATCTAAACCTCATTAGAGAGATACTACATCACTTTTTAGAATGCATGCCTCTTTTTCTGAAATACTGCTGTATTAGCTGGGACTGGGGTTAGGGAGCGCACAAAAATGGCTGGGCCTGGAAGGGTTAACGGGTATGCTAAACGAGGAATCAAATTTTTGTAATCATTGTCATTATTTCTTCTTCACTTGTCTTTCTTGTAGGCGACTCGTCTTCACCCTTCAAGTTTGCCGGTGCCGGGCAGCAGCTGTTTAGACCCGGCGGAGCCTTCGCTCAAGCTGAAGGTGGCGAGGATGGAAACGACTCTGGCGTGGTGCCCAGTGAGGACGTCCATTTTGAGCCCGTGATTCCTCTGCCAGACCTGGTGGAGGCGAAAACAGGTGTGTTGCTTTGTGGGGCTGTGTGTGATGTCTTTTGTTTCCACAGCGCTTGTCTTCTGACGCTTCTTCTAAGTGGGTGGTTGGCGGGTGCTCTGGTGTGGTTTGCTTCTTCTTTCCTATCAACCGTCTATTGTCCTTATCTCCCCCCTCCTTCTTTTCTATGTTTGTTACTCTCTTGTAACACCTCTAATCTTTTGGCGCTCATATGACCGTATGCAGTCTGGAGCGCTGTAAAACCTCTACTAAAAGTACTAAAACAAGCTTCATCTAAGCCACAAGCTCAAAGTGTTGAGAACTTGAAAAGGGTGCCAGTTTATACTTGTCAAAATGTTCTTGTGGATTTGACGTGCGCTGTCTACATTATCGGTTTGTTTTGACCCTCAGTACAACACGGTATGTTCTTTTTTCAGGGATGTCACTTTTCCACTTTTTTCCCGGTATTTTGATCCTGATCCGCTATTCAGTTATTAGGATCGAGATAGAATCTATAGGAGGGGGGAAGGTGCATCTAATCTTTTTTTTTTTTTATGTTTGTCATTTCTCTCTATGTACACCCTTTGGGTTTCAAATTGATATTCATATGTTAGCGAGACCGTGGCGTGTGGATTTTCAGCTATTTTAAAAGAAGTTGAGTAGCATCCCTGTTTTTTGGGGGGGGGGTTTCTGTTGCGGTTTCTGTGCCTTTGGCCTAATATTTAGCTAATTTCACCCTAGCTCATACTTTACCGGCGTGCCAAAGACTGCTTTGTTACTCAACTCAGGTCTTGATTTATGTGTTACTTTCGTAACTTTTCATTTAGACTGGAAGTTAATAACAAGGAGCCATGCACAAACACAACTCATTTGAGACCCATGTGTCTTTGGCTTCACTCCTTCCTTCCTTTTCTTTTCTTTCTTCTTTCTTTTCTTTCTTCTTTCTTTTCTTTTTTTCTTCTCTCTTTTCTTTCTTTCTTCTTTCTTTACTTTTGTTTTTTTCTTTCTTTTTTCTTTTCCTTTCCTTTTTTCTTCTTTCTTTCTATCTTTTTTTTTTTTTTTTTTTTTAAAGAAATAAATTACAACTTTCAAATTGTGCATAGGTGAGGAGGACTGGTCCGCCCTGTTCTGCCAGAGAGCCAAGCTGTACAAGTTCGACCAAGATGCCAAACAGTGGAAGGAAAGAGGCATTGGGGAAATGAAGATTCTCAGCCACAACACGGAGAGTAAGTGCCGCCGTCAGTGGGGGAAATCAGCTGTATAGTTTTCCGACGAGTCTCTGGTCTCTGTTGTTCCACTTTCAAAATGAGATCTATTTAAAGGGTTAAGTGAGGGGAAAAGTTGCGGGATGAGGAAGGCGGGGAGACAGCGGAACACCACTAGCAAGTCCTGTTTCACAAATTGATGTTTTGTACCAGTTTCACTTAATAAAACCATATCATTCTTGAAGACTTCTTGAGCTGTCTAAAAATGTAAAAAAGCTGTGGATTCAGTGTTGAATTTTGTGTTGGAGACTGGACTCAATGTGCCCAATTTCTGACTGTAGTGGAGTATTTTTCCTGGCACACACAAATGCTCTCTACCTAAGTCGTTTGTGTGGATGGTTGGCGGGTGCTCTGGTGTGATTTGCTTCTTCTTTCCCATCAAACATCTATTATCCTTATCTCTCCTCCTTCTTTTTCGTGTTTGTTACTCTCTTGTAACACCTCTAATCTTCTGCACTTATATGACCTTATTGTGTTGCAAGTACCGTAAAACACTTACTAAAACTAAATTAAGTCGTTTGTCATAAAGGGCTCAGTCTTGTGTTTGGCCCTCAGTGATGTGCAATGTAAGATCATGTCGGTGTACCATTTTCATTTGAGAAGCCTGTGCTTTTATTGCCCGACCTTCTTCTTCAACCTTTTTGTGGGTGGTTTTCGGATGTTCTTGTGTGGTTTGCTCCTTCTTTCCTGATTCCTATTTTTAAAAATCTATCTCCTCTACCTTCCCGTCCTTCTTTTTTTATGTTTGTTACTCTCTTGTAACACTTCTAATCCTCTGTTCTTATATGACCTTATTGTGTTGCAAGTGCCGCAAAACTCTTTACTAAAACATCACCCCCTTTTCCAGTGATGTTCCGAGTTCTTCAGCGACGGGAACAGGTGCTAAAAGTGGCTTGCAACCATCTTATCTCCGAGGACATGAAGCTCAAGCCGCTGGCCACGTCTGAGACCTCGTGGTGTTGGTTGGCCCATGACTTTACCGATTCGGAGGGCCAAGTGGAGCAGTTTGCCGTCAAGTTCAAGGTGCGAGGTTCATGGGATTGCAAGTTATTTAAGGGTTTTCCCCAACATTTGCGTCTCTTTTATTACTCTAACTTGCTATGATGAAGTGGGCGCTCTGAATGTTGAATTAGTTGTTACGATTTTGAAAAATTATGTTTGATAAAGTTGAATAGAGAAATCCTCGAGCTTTCTGTTTTCCTTTGTTTTTTGTTTACGTTGATCGAAAATTGTAATTCAAAAGTGCTAAGACTTTTAAAAAATTGCGTTGTGAGTTCTCAATACTGAATTTGGATGGTTTGGTTGTTTTTTTTTAAATTACATTTTAACACTTTTTAAATTGATATTTATGTGAGCTATTTCAGCTGCAGGTGCTGTAAAACTTTCTAGAATGAACTGTCCACTTGTAGTATGAGAATGAAATAGACATTATTTTTGTTCAAGTCCATGCTCTGGTTCAGTATTTTGCTCGTCTTGACCAGTGGTTTTTTTTTTTTTTTTGGTTTGTTCTTGTCTTCTAGAATAAAGACATTGCCCAACAGTTCAAGGAAATTTTTGAGAAGTGTCAAGAGGATCTCAGGAACTGTACTAGCGCAGGTGAGGTTGTTTTGTTTGTTTGTTTGTTTGGGTTTTTTTTTGTTTTTGTTTTAAGGTGTTTTTTATGTCTCCATTATTGTAATGCTATGTTGCTGGGCTTTTTACAGTGATAGCATTTTTATTTTTTTTTAAGTGTGGGTGAACAGTTTAAGCAAAAATAATTAGTTTCTGTTGTCATTTCTGCTTGCTTTTAGAGAAAAATTTTGGAAAAGGATCTTTGATGTCGTTGGCTTTTTCAGAAAAAATTTTTGCACTTTGAAAGATTCTGACATTTATTTTTTTGAAAATTCCAATAATAGTGATAGTCTCATCTCTTTCTTGTTCATCTGCGCCGCCCGCCCCCGCCCCCGACTTGAAACTAGAAATTATACTCAGATTTTTGCTTGTTATGTCGTAGTCACATTCAGAAATGGTTGAAGTGTTTAGATGGCTCTTTTCACGTTTGCTTTCGTCATATCCACTTCACTGTGATGTCATAGCAAGGGTTTATTTCAGGGATGCCAAATCTCCGGTTTTTCCGGATTTTTCTGGGTTTTTTTCATACACTTGCAAAGGAAAGGGGAATGATAAAAGAAATGTTTTTGTTTGCTCATTTAAAGATTTTACAAAGTATGTTTTCGGTGAGATGTGACGCTCCGATCATTTTCAGGTTGTTGTTGTTTTTTTTTTTTCAAAAATCATTTGGCATCCCTGTTATTAGATTGGCAGGAATAGGATGATCTATCGGTTCATAGACGTGGACATGAAAACAGTCAAAAAATGCAATCTAGCAGAGAAGTTGAGTAAAAAAAATAAAAAATAAAACTGGTTTACGTAAATTGAGCCTCTGAATTAGTGTTTTAACCTTGAAACAAAAAGTGTAAACCATTTGCTGAAACAAGTGCTTATTCTGTATTCCCTTTTTTTTTTAATAGGAGAAAAGGGGGGGGGGGTCTGTCTGCTGATAATGGTAACAGTGGCTCTAAACCTAGTTTTAACTTTATTGAAGACTCTTTGCATATGGTCTGTTTGTTCGCACTTTCAGTTGTTTCAGATAGTGATAAAGTCAAACAGGTCATTTTATTTCTGACTCGGTCCTCAGTGCTGTGTTGTTCAGACTCCTATTCGAGTTTCAAAGCTCTGTGTGTGGGCTTTTATATTTTTTTATGACTATTTCTTTTGCAATGATGCATTTTTTTGGGGTTGTATTTTTGCTTTTAATTTGTCATTATTCTTATAATTAACCCTATCCGTACGCCGTGGGGTCATTTTGTACCCCCGGGTTTGTACTCTTCACATTTTAGAATACTTTTAGTGCGAAGGTCTCTTTGAAACTTTCAGTGTTTCTCAAAAAATCATTTTGACACACTGCAATGCAAAGGGTACTGGTCGGATTAACGAGTAAATTTTCTCTATGGAAAGTGGTGGCACAAAGTTCCCCATGTCATATGGATACGCTAGTAAAACACGGCGTACGGATAGGGTTAAAGCTAATGGTTTGAATGGTTGTGTGTGTGCTGTGAGAGAGATTCAGTTTGGGACTAATAGAAGAAAAATGTGGATTGTGAATGGAGAAGACTGTACATGATACCAGCATTGCTACTGTTTTGTAAGTTGTGGCTTTTTTTTTTTTTTTAAAGTTGTAAGCTGTCTTGTCTTTGGTGTCATTATCAAATAGCATACAATCAGAACTCATTGGTTTTTTTCTCTTAGCAAAGCCTCATCATCAACACTCTGCTGATACAGCTCATGCCCCCAAAGATCAGTCAGTGGAAGAAGACACGAAGTTGAAGCATTCTGTGCACCCTTCGTGTGATTTATCACCAGCTTTTTATGAAACTGTCATGTCATCACTAAAAGTAACACCTTTGGGTGATAAGGGAAATGTCTATCACACAAAAGCTTTGAATGTGGCAGGGGAAGATACAATGACGGCTACGTCATTTACTCAACTTGGTGGCAAAGACGCCGAAGAAGTTATGAAAGCCAAAAATGTCACACCTTTGGGGGATCGAGGCAATGTTTATCACACAAAAGCTTTGAATGTGGCTGGACAAGATACAATGACTGCCTCGTCATTTACTCAACTTGGTGGCAAAGATGCTGAAGAAGTTATGAAAGCCCAAAATGTCACACCTTTAGGTGATAAGGGAAATGTCTATCACACAAAAGCTTTGAATGTGGCTGGACAAGATACAATGACTGCTTCGTCATTTACTCAACTTGGTGGCAAAGATGCTGAAGAAGTTATGAAAGCCAAAAATGTCACACCTTTAGGTGATAAGGGAAATGTCTATCACACAAAAGCTTTGAATGTGGCTGGACAAGATACAATGACAGTATCTACCTACTCTCAACTTGGTGGCAAAGATGCTGAAGAAGTTATGAAAGCCAAAAATGTCACACCTTTGGGGGATAAGGGAAATGTTTATCACACAAAAGCTTTGAATGTGGCCGGACAAGATACAATGACAGTATCTACCTACTCTCAACTTGGTGGCAAAGATGCTGAAGAAGTTATGAAAGCCCAAAATGTCACACCTGTGGGGGATCGAGGCAATGTTTATCACACAAAAGCTTTGAATGTGGCCGGGCAAGATACAATGACTGCTTCGTCATTTACTCAACTTGGTGGCAAAGATGCTGAAGAAGTTATGAAAGCCAAAAATGTCACACCTTTGGGGGATAAGGGAAATGTTCATCACACAAAAGCTTTGAATGTGGCTGGACAAGATACAATGACTGCTTCGTCTTATGCTCAACTTGGTGGCAAAGACGCCGAAGAAGTTATGAAAGCCAAGAATGTCACACCTTTGGGGGATAAGGGAAATGTTTATCACACAAAAGCTTTGAATATAGCCGGAGAAGATACAATGACAGCATCTACCTACTCTCAACTTGGTGATGGCAAGGACAAAAATGTCAAAAGCGGTCCTGCTCAACCTGTCGCTGCGCCAGCTCACGGTGCCAGTCCCAATCCCCAACAGCTGTTTGAGAGCTTCTCTGGATCAGGTGTCCCGCCTGCCGCAGCGAGGGCGCCCATGTGGAGCAGGGGTATGCCACTGCTATGCCTCGGGCTTGGGCTTGCTGGCTTTTTGTTTTGGCAAGTTTAGAATAAATAGTGCTCAGTGGGCTTTTTCTTTTAGAGTGTTATAAATAGTTTTGTTGTGGAATTCATGAGATGTCTCTGAAAGCTATCACCACCATTCCAGAGACTAGTGAGTACAGAACAGGAATGTTTCCTAAAGGAAATGGGGGAACTTTTTTCAAACAGAATGTTGATGATCTGTTGTCCCTGCTATGTTGCAACAGTTGGATACAGTGGGTCTATAATGGAAATAAAATGGGGGGGGGGGGGGAATTTGTTGGTCCAAGGCTCCGGTATAAGTCATAGGTTAGGAATAGCTGAAATCTTTCTGGGTTTTACTTTCTGTGGAGAGTGAACATATTGGTGCTTTACAAAGACGCGACTTGCACAATGGGGAACAGTTTTGCTGCATTGCCATAGTGTCAGACTTGCTTGCCAACACTTAAAGCTTCGAGCATTACTTCTTGTCGTACTTGTATTCCCATCGCAAAGACTGTGTCTTTAACATATCTCTTGCATTTTGACACCTAGAGATTTTTCAATCTTTTGTTCTGGTGACCTTATTCGACCATTGATAGATTTCTATGTTTGGTGATTTTTAAAAAATAATTTTTTTTTAAATTCTATTCAGTCAAGAACTGAGCAGTAAGCATTTGTGAGGCATCGTGGTGAAATCAGGCACTCGTCAAAATAATGAAATTGAAGAAAAACGCATTTTTCCCAACTGTTTGACTGTTTTTATCGAAATTTTGTGTTTTAGCTCAACACCCTTTAAGTTCATATGAAAACACATTTCCATGTGAATTTTACTGAAAACCCTTGTTTAAAAGCACAAAATATGTCATTTTCAGTTTTCAAGAACTCTTTACCTTACCAAACTTTGGCAGCCATTTTTTCATAAATTTTTAAACACTGAAACCAGGCTACCCCACCTTCTTCAGTCGCAAATATCTCGACTTCTTTTCGAACTAGATAGATATTTTTTCTTTGAAAGCAAGGCGAGTGAATTTATAAGCTTTCAGGTGATGTCAATAACTCCACATGCCCCAAAAATTGAGGAGCGCCTGGTTCCAACAAGTTGTGACACATTTGTTATTCACTGTATCCGTGTTGTTTTGGGGTTGTTGCTTTTTTTCCAAAGTGCTGATGTTTTATTTTTATTATCCTTTTTGTTAGGAAGAGGAGACAGGACCGAAAAAGAAAATGTAATTTAGGGTCTTTTTTTGTGTCTTTTTTAAATTCATAGCTTAGTTATAGAAGCACAGGGTCGAGTATGGTTTTGTCAAGTTCCCTCGCTTGCTTGACGACACCACACTTTCATGAATGCTCGATTTATGATTTATGGTTGTTGTTGTTTTTTTCGGGGAAAATGTTTTGGCATCCTCTCTGTGGCTTTGGGATGTTGGATTTTTTTCCTGTTTTTCTTTTTCTGTTTTGTATCCCCTGTGATTTCAATCCATCTCAAATTGTCATCTGAGCACTGTTCAATGTCGTTCCTCCAAATATTATTTGTTTTTACGTCTGTGTGAAAAGCAATTAATCAATTAACAGACTCCAGCACTTGTGTTATTTGCCGTACTTCCAAAAAGTACGTTTTTGCCCTTGTGAGGTTTTTTCTTTGTGACTAACTGAAATTTTGTGATGTGGATAACCTCTGACAAGTTGAGTGGACATGTGTAAAAGTCAAGAACGTTGGAAAGGAAAAGCTGGTCTTTGTGAAAGAATGTTTCTCACCTGGTGTGGTCATCCTGAACGGAAACGAAAAGCTTGTAAAATAATATATTTGCAAGACTCGTTTGCACGTGGTGTTTGTCCCACTCTTTACAACTTTTTGCGTCTGTCAAGGTTTCTCCGCTACTTATTTATCGGTTGTTATTGACTTGATGTAGTGCAAGTACAACTTGAAAAAGCAATTGTGAGGCAGCGTGGTGGAATCAGGCTCTCGTCAGTTTTGGGGCGTGTAGAGTTATTGGTATCATCTTCAAGCTTGTTCACTTGTCTTTATTTGGATGGAGAAAAAAATCAATTTCTCTTAAATACAAGTCGAGATATTTGCGAATGAATGAGGTGGGGGTCACCTGTTTTCAGAGGTAAAATTAGTGAGAAAATGGCAGCCAAAGATTAGTTATTTCCTTAGCTTAAGAGTCTGTGGTAACTGAAAATTTACATTTTGTGTGCCTTTAATCAACGTTTTTCAGACAAATCCAAACAGAAATGAGTTTTTTAATGGGCATGAAAGGTGTTGAGCCAAAAAACAAAAATTTGATAAAAATTCTCAAACCTGCGGATAAATGCAAGTTTCTTCACTTTGATTATTTTGACGAGAGCCTGATTCCACTGCGCTGACTCGCAATTTATAATGCAGTTTTCTATTTCAAGAAGGTAGCTTTTTGATGATTTTACATCAGTATTGTTCTCAATGGCTTTTAATTATTTTGCCGAGCGCTAATATGGGGGGGCTTCCAGATGTGTCTGTGCTGTGATTTTATTTCGCTGGAAGAGGTGTGAACTTTATTAAATGTTTGGCAAAATGTTCGAAGAAATAGGACTTAACTGCAAGATGAGATCCAAGTATGGGCATAAAGGTACTCGAGTGTCTTGTGTCAAGTCAAGTCCTGAATAAACGCAAGAAGATTTTGAGCTCAACGCACTGTTGATCTGTCTCCCACGCAATGGGAAGGACCAGTTACCGAGTCAGTGGTCTGATGGTGTACATTTACTCTGAGCGGAACTACCTTTTGTACTTTTTTTTTTTTTTTGTAAGTGTTTTACGGCGCTCATAACTGCTTACGGTCATATGAGCGCACGGGACACCCCTAACATTTTCAGTTAATGGGAAATTTTGAATTTTGCCCGGGTGGCGGCCGAAGCCTACTCCTATCGATTTTAGACCACCAAGGGACATGGGCCCTCCGAGATTTTTCGCCCTTCTCCGAGAAGGCTAGGTGTAGATCTTTCCTACCAGAAGATCAGGGGTGTGGCTGAAAGACAGCAGTGAGAAGGAGCCAAGGAGTAGCAGTAGAAAGGCTGCAGAAAGAGTCAGGAGCCCAGAGAAGGGGGCAAAGGGAGTTAGGGGGTGGGGGCAGTATGAGGAGACAAAAGCAGACGACCGAACATTGCTGGAGAACGAGAAAGGAGGTGAAAGGAGACAATTTAAGAGAATAAAAATTTTTGATCGCTACCCGGATTCGAACCAGGGACCTGTGAATGAGAAGCCAACACCTTTACCTCTAGGCCTCTTTTACTTTGTGGAAATAAACTAATACTGCCTTGAAAACGTGTGTGCATGCATGAGTCAAATTTAGGTGTGTTGCATTTTCGAAGTGAATAGTCCCTTTTCAACTGACTCATCTTATATATATTCCTTTTTAGCTCCTATATATTGGTCCAGTTTTCGCTGCCCTATTATATAACAGCCTGTTATATTTTTTACACTAAATATTCTTTAGTAGTTTGTACATACTCTTTAGTAACACATAATTTTATTGCTACTTGTATTGTCACTCAACTTTCCGTTGTTTGAACTCTCGGTTATTTTCTTATTAGATAAATGACTGACTTTCTGCACTCCATATTAGATTTTGCTTTGGCTTATATGTTAGACACAGTATCACATGTACTCTTGTGCTTTAGAAGCTAGACTTTTGTATCCTTAGACTGCAGCTTTCTTGCCATGTTTTCTTGGTATTTCTAGCCAATGCTCTTTTTTATTAGCTAATAGTATAGTACTATGCCTCTGACAGGCAGTTCAGAGTTTTCAAAGTAAATACGCTTTTTGATTTCAACTGCCATACACTTATTCTTCAGTGCTTGATGAAATTAACTGATTTTAAATCATTCTTACTTAACACTTTGCCACCTCATCTCGCTGACTGGCGACCCCCCAGTTTCTTTGGATTATCCCCAAAATATGATGGCAAAGTGTTAATACCAGGGAGCAACAGGAGGGATATTCAGTCTCCCCCAGTGATGCTTTGCCTCAGCTCCCTTTACTTTAATCTTCAGCAGAGGGAAGACAACCTTTTGCGATCATTGTGTGTCTGAGTTAACATTTTTTTAAAATGACGACTCTTTTTTGTTGCTGTTTTCAGTAGAGGAGACCCAGCCGGACCAAGAGGAGTATGATTATGATGAGGTGGAAGATGATGAGGAGGAGGAAGAAAGAATTCTCTTTGAAAAAAGAGCCACCCTCAACTCGTACGAAGATGGGCAGTGGAATGTGAGTGTGTGTATTTGAAGCTATAATATGGCAGCGCTTTGATTTTTGTTGTTGTTCAAGGAGTGGTATATTTCAGTGTCACCATGATTTGTCTGTCTGTCTGTCTCTGTCTATAGTTTCACGCCCTGCAACAAACAATGATGATAATAACCCTTCCAGCCCCAGCCATTTTTGTGCGCTCCCTAACCCCGGTCCCAGCCAATACAGCAGTATTTCAGAAAAAGAGGCATGCATTCTAAAAAGTGATATAGTATCTTTGTAATGAGGTTTAGATAACAACATATAACAATTTTTTAAAGTAAATGAACAAATATTATGAAAATTAATGTTTAATTAGGTTTGCTAATTTAAAAAAATACGCAATTCGGTCCCCTCCTAAACTGAAAATATACGGTCTTGGGACGGTGGGAGGTGCAAGCGCTGCTGGAAATATACGCGCTTGGGGCTGGAAGGGTTAAAGAATAAAGATCGCCTACCACTCAAAGGAATGCCGCCACCCCCCTCCCAGGGCAATGCCACTGACCGAAGTTTCTTTAGGCCATTCCCAAAGAGAGGGGTTTTAACATGTTCGTATGCACAGTAGAATTGTAAATGAGCTGATTTATCAATGTCGTGCTCATACTACTGTACCGAAACAACATAGGGGGGAACTGCTGTTTTTTCTCTCCTCATCCTTACTATTGTCATTTTCCTCTACTTCTTTTGTATGTTTGTCACTCTCTTGTGAACTGCTATATCCAGGGTGCCTTGATAGTCGAGGCAGACTTTGTGCTGTTGAGGCTAGAGAGGTGAGCAGAGTAAGCCTGATTCCCCGTTTGGACTTCTCTGTTGACATCCGCCCCTTGGCGCTCATATGACCTTATACAGTTGCGAGCGCCGTAAAAATCTTACTTTAAAAAAAAAAACTCAAAGGAACTAAACATAAGGGGTTTGGTTTTGGGTTTTTTTGTGTTATGTGGGTGGTTGGCGGGTGCTCTGGTGTGGTTTGCTTCTTCTTTCCCATCAAACATCTTATCGTCCTTATCTCCCCCTTTTTCTTTTTTATGTTTGTTACTCTCTTGTAACTGTAACACCTCTAATCTTCTGGCGCTCATATGATGACCTTATGCAGTCGCGAGCGGCGTAGTAGTACCTCTACTTTACTTTACGTTTCCGATCCAGCGGCCATTTGGGTTCTAGCCCTTTAGTCTGTCGATATGGCAAAGAATTTACAGGTTTGTGCCTCTACTAGAACTAAAACTAATTTGTATTTGTGTGTCATCCTGGCCAGAAACTTGGCGTGGGGACGCTGCTGGTGACCTACAACGAGGACGTCAACGGCAACATGGTGTCCTTCGCCACGGACGATGGGGTCAGGGGCTGCAGCCACATCATCTGCCGAGAGCACACCATCACCCAGTGAGTGGACCTGGTCGTTGTTGTTGTTGACCTCGTTGTTGTTGTTGTTGTTGCCTTTATTAGCTCTTAGTAGTGGGTGGTTGGCGGGTACACTGGTGTGGTTTGCTGCTTCTTCTTTCCTATCAAACATCTATCTTCTTTATTCCCCTCCCCCGGGCATGCCACTGACTGAAGAGGCTTTTTAGGCCATTCCCAAAGGGGGGAACATATCTCGTTCTCATGCACAGTAGAATTGTAAATGAGCTGATTCAATTATGTCATGCCCATAACTGTGTCTGAACTAGAACAGGGAACTGCTGCTTTTTCTTTCCTAATCCTTACTGTCGTCATTTTCCTCTACTTCTTTTTTATGTTTGTCACACTCTTGTGACCCGCTGTTTCCGGGGTGCCTTGAAAGTCAAAACAGACTTTGCGCTGTTAAAGCTAGAGCGGTGAGCAGAGTAAGCCCGGTTCCTTGAAACTTTTCCCTTCTTTTTTGTGTATGTTACTCTCTTGTAACACCTCTAATCTTCGGCACTTATATGACCTTATTGTGTTGCAAGTGCCGTAAGACTCTTTCTAGAACTAAAACTTGTTTTTTGTTGTTGTTGTTGGGGGGGGGGGATGATTGTTTTGTTTTCTTAATTTCTTTCTTTTTCTTTTTCCCCACCAGTGAACCTACAGGTCGCTCCTGTGAATGGTCGCCCTTGGATTACGCTACAGACGAAGCTGTGAGGAAACATTTGTCGGCTGCCTTTAGCTCTGCGGCAGCTGCTGCAGAGTTTGCAAAGATTTTCATTGAGGTAAGGAGTACAGGGCTAGTTTTTGTCTGGGTCCGTTTTGTTTGGGTTTTTTTTTTTTTTGTAAGTAGAGGTTTAACGGCACTCGCAACTGCATAAGGTCATATGAGTGCCAGAAGATTAGAGATGGTACAAGAGAGGAACAAACATAAAAAAAGAAGAAGGGGAGATAAGGACGATAGATGTTAGTTCTATAGGAAAGAAGCTACCCCACACATCTAATTGCCTCTACTCCTCAAGACACCAATTAGAACAAACATGTAACTATTACCGAATGGCATCATGCAGAAGAGTTAACGCTCAGATGCTACTGGATCGCTAACAACAACAACAACAACATAGGAAAGAAGAAGCAAACCACTCCAGAGCACCCACCAACCACCCACTGGGTCAAGTTTACATTGATGCGTTCGAATTATTCAGTGAATTCTGTTGACTTCTTTCTTTCTTTTTCTTTTTTCTTGTCTTTCCTGCTGTAGTAATGAGATGCCACCAAATGTGAACACCCACCAGCATTTTAGCATTTGTAGTTCTCATCGGAGTGAGGAGGTTCTTCTGTTTCTTTATACTTTCAAAAATGTTTCTGTTCTGTGGATGGTTGGCTGGTGCTCTGGTGTGTTTTGCTCCTTCTTTCCTATCAAACATCTTATCTTCCTTATCTCCGTTTCTTCTGTTTTGTGCTTGTTACTCTCTTGTAACACCTCTAATCTACTGGCGCTCATGTGACCTGATGCAGTTGTGAGCGGCGTAAAGCCTACTGAAATAAAAAAATGTTCAACCATTTTGTGGCTGTGCTCTCAAAACAGCCCTTGACGTCTTTCCGGGTATTGACTTGTGGCAAAGACATGGAATGAACCAGCTACTCCTCGGGTTGTGTGTGTATGTGTAGGTTTGTTGTGGGTTTTTTTCTTTTCAGGGGAGGGGTGGGGGAGTGTTTATATTGACTATTGAACGTACTCGTGGGCACAGATAACAAACTCTCATAACTCGAAATCACAGGCAGCTTGTAAAATAACAATACGCCATTCCGTGACTGAACTGCTGTTTTCGTTGTATTGGCAGTACGGTACTGCTTTCTGAAATATCCTTATTTATATGTATTTGTTAAATAACTCATCTCGGAAAAATCAGGAATTTTGTTTTATACATGCTCCACGTGTTTTTTGTTTTTTTTCAAAGACATTTTGTAAACATGCTCACCTGTACTGTGCAATGCAAGTGGCGTCGGTAACCTAGTGGTTAGGCTACCGGACTCGTTATCGTGAGATTGCGAATTCGGGGGTTCGAGCCTCAGGTCGGTCCGACGTTGTGTCCTTGGGAAAGGCACTTTACATGAACTTCCCACTTCGCTCGCTCCTATCGGAGACGGACGTTAAACTAGGAGATCCCGCCCCTTAAATGACTTAATATACCATTTTTTGTACTATGCAAGCTTTTTGACACTCATGTTTGAAAGGGGAATTGTGTTGGGAGTGGGGAATAGGGAAATTAAAGCAGTCCACTTTTGAGTCCCACAATTTGGCTTTTGCTTGTCTTTGACAGCAGTTGCCGAGAGACTTAGACTTAAAAGTGAGAAAGACAACTTCCTCTTTCTCTCTCTCTCTCTCTCTCTCTCTCTCTCTCT